GGGTTGTATACTAATATTTTTGTATTTAAATTAGGTTAACCCCCCCCTCCCCACGATTTCGAGCCAGCATGGCTATCATCAGGAGGAAAAAATTCCTGCTTGTTAGTAGCAGTAAACTACATGGGTGAATAACTGTCTCTGAAGAAAGTTACCTTTGCCTGTAATTTTCATTTGCTTTTTATTAATTTTTGCCAGTCCTTATAACACCTATTTAAGCACTTACTTTAAAAAAAAAAAAGAAAAGTTTTTAAATCAATTTTATTAACAAAAATTCAAAACCAAAGAGCAGTATCTTTTTACACTATTTACTTTGTTTGGGCTGTTGTCCTCATATTTATTGTCATATTGATGACATTTTGGTTATTGTATACCATTCTGGATTTCATCAGATGGTATAAATTGGAATTTCACACCAAACCCTTTATTTTGTCCAGCAGGGTAGATTGTTCTAGTTCTATGTGCATAAATCACCTGAAGAGGGCTGGAGCATACAACAGCCAAAAACGTTTTGAATATGACAATTAAGATGAGGACAACAATCTGAACAATGTAAATAGTGTAAAATGTTACAATACTTCATACATAGATATTAAAAAGCATTATATCTACTGAAGTGCTTATTTAAATAAAAAATACATAAATGCATAGTAAATAAGCATAAATAAAAATGTTTTTTTAATGACAAAAACAAAGAAAAAAGAAAGCCCAAACCATTACTTGTCCTTCAACATATGGTTTTCGTTAAATGTAGTACTTTTGATAAGGTCCAAGAATAACAACAAATTACAGATACCAAGATTGGCAAGATGTTGTCTCTAAATTATTTTTTTTTCTTACTTAAGAATCCACTTAAGAATAATATCACCAGCTCTACATCAGGGTTTTGTTTTGAAAGGACGTTCTAATTAAACAAAATATATCCAGAGAGACTTAATTTAGGTTATGAACATTTCCTTTCAAGAGATGAACTCTGTTTTGTTAATGTTTTATAACGTAACTATTCTCTTGATAAATTAGAATAATTATTGCAGACATGTATACATTTGTAGATGGGTGCTGATTATAAATACTGACTTGGTTGTGGGAATTAGAAATAACCTTGAAGAAGAATCAAATTAGATTCCCTTATCCTTGGAGCAAAACATTCCATCTACAGTTGGCAATACCCAAAAGCAAATTAATCCAACAAACATCTGTGTATGCTGGAATATTAAAGTTATTTTTTCAACAATCTCCTTTCTTCCTTTTTTAGCATTTTAACCCAAGCAAGGCAATAAAGCCACTAAATCACAAGGGGTTAATGAATATGAGAGAATATAATAAAAAAAAACATTACAAAAGAGTGGGAACAATAAAAGAACAGGAATTTAAAAAAAAAAAAAAAAGTTAATTGACACTACATTTAAATTTTTGAAGATTAAATTTGACTGGAAAGTGAGAAGGGCAATAAAAGAAAATATTAACATAGACCTTAGGGTTACATCTAACCATTTCAACTATAAAATGATGAGACCTTGCTGCCAACCTTGTACTGTGCTCAAAATTCATAAAGTCTAGGTACTATGGAGCAAAGTTTATCAGAACAATTACCATGAAAATATTTATATAAAAAGCACAGGAAAGCTACGTTAGGGCAGTAAGAAAATGACTGAAACCAGGACCAATAACCTTACAGATTATTATTTGTATTTTATCAAGAATCTCAAAATGCAAAGCAGAAACACCAGACCAGATATGGCAACAATATTCAATGCATGGACAAATGGTAGAATTATAAATGTGAAAGATAGAGTATGGCAAGAAAAATTGTCTAGCATGACACAGTGAACCAACTTTCCTAGCAGCAGACCAAGCAATTGATTCAACAATCTTTCCACTTCATGTCAGCTGAAAATGTTCACCCGAGAAGGTGCAGTGAGTCACTCTCCTGGAGATTAGAATCAGTCATGCTGATGGAAGGCAAAAAGGGTTCTCCCAATTCAGTGAATATTAATCATATAGATTGAAGATTATACAGTGAAACTGTCAGATCAAAATTATCATAATAACTATACATTTTTTTTTATATACTTGTGTGTGCATATTTTACACAGACAATTAAATACTTTCACAATATAAGCAACTCGTTTTAAGCCATAAAAATTTTGTTTTTCCTATTTAAAATTTCTGATGAATCTTATTTCTTCAGTTAATGATTGAATACGCTCATGCAGAGTTCTACAATAATAAAATATCCATAGAAATTCCTCTATCATCCCATTAATTATTTGAGCTTAACTTTAACAAAATATTGCAATAACAATCAAATATGAATGATCATTATTTTACAAAGAAAGGAGGTACAATAGGAAAGATTTGAAACTTACAATTTTTTTTTCACTGAAACTGACATTAAACAATTCTATTTTTCTTTCTTTCATTTTCTGATTGAAACCAAGATGCATCTTTTCACAAGATCAAAACAGAATAGTCCATGATTTATGAAGTATTAAATGTTAAAAACTTTTTTTTTTACTGAAACCAAGTAGCATCTCTGATAAGTCTTTTGTATTTACACATGATCAAAACAAAATAGTCTATTAACTAGCCATGCAAACTAACAAAGGACATGACAAGCACAACTATATGATATTAAAATGATGTTGATCAAATTTATATGTAAATATATGTGATTTTCAACTTATGTTTATGACTAACCTTTTATTATAAAACTCAACAGTAGGAATAAATATAAGTAATAGCATATAGTTGTTTACACTATTTACATGCAGACTCTTGTCCTCATCTTTGTTGTTGCTGTGATAACAAAGAGAACAATAGTCATCATGTAAATAATTATCCCAGAAATTCAGACAAAATAAATAACTATATACTATTTAAGTAATTAATGGATCATCTGATCAGACACTGCACAATTTAGTTGTGTTTGAGTAGATATCTTAGTTTTTTTAAACAGTGAAATTAATATTTACCTGCCTAGACACTGAAAGTGTTATTAAAGAAAAATGGAATTCAATCTACTTTCGCAGATTAAAAAAAGGAATGCAAGTTCGATTCCTGTCAAGAGTCATTTCCATTAGTAAGATTTTCTATGTCTAGGCAAATAGACATTAACTTCACTGTTTATGAATTTTGAGCACAGTACTAGGTTGGCAGTACTTAAATTTAAACTTCAAAAATTTGAATGTAGTGTCAATTAACTTTTTTTTTTTTTTAAATTCCTGTTCTTTTATTGTTCTCACTCTTTTGTAATGTATCTTTTTTTTTATATTCTCTCATATTCATTAACCCCTTGTGATTTAGTGGCTTTATTAAAAAAAAATAATACTGATATGTGCTCAAATACATGCAACCACTAAATATGTTTATAGTAATGGGAAATAGTCACTTTTTATAATTACAGATATATAAAGATTGCCACAGGTAATAAAAAAAAATATAACCTCTTAAAGAAACAAGAGACTGTAAAGTCATTAAATGATGGGAAGAAGAATAGAAAATGTGAAAAGTTGAAAAGAGTTCATAATAGAATCAAAGAAATTTAAAACATTGGCTAGATAAGAACAAGAAAATGAAACAAGCTTTAAAAATAATGCAAAAATAGATATGAGAAAAATTAAAAGAAGAAAACTAGATTGACGAGCAAGAAAGTAGTTGAAAATGTGTTGCAAATGTAAACAGAGAAAACACAGAATATTAAGAACAATGGCTAAAGACATGAAAGCCACCCTAAGCAAACATGACAAAGAGAAAATTCTATGTTGGGTGAATAAGTACTTGAGAACTGATTTATCAACAGCAATTTTTAGTGATGAATATAGAGCTACATTGGATGGTTTGGATTAGTGCTTCATGGAAATGGATACAATTAAGAAAACGATATCAATTCTATCAAGATGAATCTTGAGAAAATTCAAAGAAGGATCTGTAATCTGGTTCGTCTTGACCTGCTATCATGACTTCAGTCACTTTCTCACAGATTACAAATATTTTCATGGCAACTGTTCTGATGTGCATCAACTACATAATTTTAAGTGTGTTACTAGATTGGCGACACGGTCTCACTATTTTACTAGATAGATTCAACCACTTCTATTCTAATAGTTTCTCCTATAGAACTCCCTTCTGATATCCTTTCTTTGTTACCTATAATCTTGAAAAATTTGAATGCAATATCAATTGCCATCTTTTCTTCCTGAACCCTGTTTCTTTATTGTCCTTTCCTCACTGAAGTCTTCTCATTCTATTTCCCTCCTTGTAAACACCTGTGTCTTAGTGGAATTATTTTTTTTTTTTTATGATACAGGTCACAATAACAATGCTTTTTTTAAGCTAAAGAATAGTTTCATGCATTATAATGCTCTTTCATATTCTGCAAAGTTGTCTGTTGCCCACCCTACCAAAAAAAAAAAAAAAAAAAAAAAAAGTGTTTCAAAGATACCAATTATTTATACCTATAATAAAAACAAACTTTTGAGAAACTAAAGTATTTCTCTAACAAAGTTCACAAGACTGGATTAACATTAATGAGTATAGACAAAGATACAAAATTACTATAAATGCTAAGCAAACCTAAAAGCTATAAAATTTGAACATCTGTTGGGTCTCAAGTTCATTCTAGATTCCAAAGAGAACTTGCACATACAATCCATTGCCAAAGATGTTGGGAAAATCGTTGGTTCATTCTATCACTCAAGAAAGTATCTGACGCCTCCTGCTACGCTTTATCTTTCCAAGATAGATTCATTGGATATTTTTTTTTTGCAGGTTAGTTAAAAGCCAGAAAATATTTTTAGATTGGAAGAATTTTGGGGGGAATAATAATGATTTAGTTATACAAGTCTTACTAATTAACCCATAGCTGGGGAAAGAGGAGGTGGATTTATACCTTTCTCAAGAATATTTGTACATGTGAATATAACAAAACCCAACTGAAATTGTAACTCAGCTTTGCCATTAACAATTCCTAGCTATTATATATTACACCGTCCACACATCCAAATTCCCAAGCAGATACCCATCTTGGTACTAACCAGGCTCAATGTTGCTTTACTTCAGTGATCATATGGAAACCAGTTTTTGAACATGATATGGCTGTAAGCCATTTTTCCAGGAGTCAGATTAGACAAAATTATAGTATTTCTGCCATATTTGGACTGTAGCTATTCAGTCCTCAAATTCTGACCTTGAAGGGATTTTTCAGTATGCCCATGACACTACTGAATGTGACACTAAATTGCAGATTAAAGTAGATTTTAACAGCAATACCATGGGAAAACTGATGAAGCCCTCCTCGGCACTTCTCCTTTTGGGAATGCCTCAGACACTGGATAATCACCCCAGCCCCTTCCAAAAGTAGAGGTACTGCCTGGGGAGAAATTTCTAACCTTGAAGAATTCAAAATCATTTACACAGACTTGTGGGAAATGACATTCTTCATTCTGCAGCCTCTTTCCTCATAGATGCAACATTACAAGTCTGTTTCCACTATTACTATTTCTGTGGCAAATGTTCAGATAAGCTCCACTTTTTAGTTCCACCAGTTCAGACCTTTACTGCTTGGACACATCATGCCACTTCCATGGCATTGAATTACCCTCATTTCCTCTGTGTTCTAAAAGTAATGAGAAGGTTCCACTCTGACAACTTCTCCCACCTCAACAATTGCCACTTTGCAAAACACTGATGCATGGGTATTTTTTTTTTTTTTTTTTTTGAACACTACAATCTTAACCTCTTCGAGTCAAGGATCAATCCTTATGTGGCCTCATAATCTTCACTTCCTACTAACCTATTTTCATCATATACACCATTTTAAAAAAATAAAAAATAAAAAAGCCCAAACTTAAAGATGTAGTTTAAGCCCTACTTTATTTCTTTTTTAAATCATTTCATCCTAAGAATGGCAATAATGCCACTAAGACAAGGAGTTACTGGGAGTAAAAGAGAATGAGAAGACTTTATGAGAAAGAACCAGACACCCAATCTTAAACAGGAAACAAAGGATAAACCTTTACTCCTGCTCAAAAGATGGGGGAGGAGTGTGAACCAAGCAATAGGCATTCTAACAAACAAACATAAAAAAATAACAAACAAACATAAAAAATAACAAACAAACATAAAAAAATAACAAACAAACATAAAAAAATAACAAACAAACATAAAAAATAACAAACAAACATAAAAAAACAAACAAACATAAAAAAATAACAAACAAACATAAAAAAATAACAAACAAACATAAAAAAATAACAAACAAACATAAAAAAATAACAAACAAACATAAAAAAATAACAAACAAACATAAAAAAATAACAAACAAACATAAAAAAATAACAAACAAACATAAAAAAATAACAAACAAAAAAAAAAATAACAAACAAACATAAAAAAATAACAAACAAACATAAAAAATAACAAACAAACATAAAAAAATAACAAACAAACAAAAAATAACAAACAAAAAATAACAAACAAACATAAAAAAATAATAAATAAACATTACAAAATTCTATATAAGAAGGTAATTTAAGAAAACTGAAGCCTAGCCATACCATAAGTTTGATCTGAAGATATAAACCTGAAGAACCTGAAAAAGCATTGGCTTACATACATTGACAAGGATAGAAATCTTGTCACAAAATAAATCAATGTGTTATAATTTTTTTTCAACATCAATTTACAGACATAATGTAATTTCATACATGTTTGTGTATAATTTCACACACATCTGTTGCAAAAACTAAAAATTTCACTGCCAACAAAGCTTTCATCAGATAACTTCTTAGACAGGCATGGTTTTGATGTCAAGGCATCATTATGACTTCAGAATCAAGACAACTTTCACTATAAAAATGGTGGACACAAAAAAGACACTATCCTAAATAAGTAATATCCTCTACTGTATACCTCATCTTCAAAGAGGGCCAGATGAATTAAAAAAAAGAAAAAATTACCATCTCAGACACTGGTCAGTTCAGGGGTGTTATTTCTGTATGGAAATTTACCTGTGTTGTGTTATCTTAATTTAGAAGACTTAAAATATTGGTGATTCCAAGCTGGCTTAACATTGTACCTTTCAAGTTAAGACCATTTCATGCATTGGAATTGGATCCAAAATAACAATTTATTTCATAAAAAAAAAAAAAAAAAAAACCAGCAAATTCTTTCATCTTTCTACAAACTACAAATTTTTCCTTCTCAGTATTTGGTCATCCTGATTAATGCCATATATTCAGAAAATTCTATTACATGCACCAAAGGGAAAGGAAGATAAAACAAGGTAGTCAGAGTCCTTGTCTAGTCTGGTAACATGATTGCAGAAGTGATAGTTATGTTTGCCGGCTTACAACATAAAAATGGAGATCTTTCTCTTTCCAAATCACCAATTACTTGCATCTCAAAATGGCTGCTCCTTTTAAGGACATTGCTATCCCATCTTGACAAGATGATGAATCAGGGAAATTAAATCATTAATTTTTTTTTTTTTTTTTTTTAAAAAGATTCTCTTCTCCCAAAAAACACATTGCCTCCTGATCCAGTTTTCCATTCAGAAAATCTACTATCAAAAATCTGTTTCTTGGAGAGAACAACAAAAAAAAATTCCTTAAAATTAATATAATTTCAGGTGACTGGTATTTCATGTATTTTTTTTTTTTTTGTAAATCCCTGGAATCAATCATCTGTCAAAACCAATACCTGTCCTGTGCAATAGACAGGAACAGGAGTAATCCTCAATCTGACTGGATTTCCTCAAGGAAAATTCAGGTTCAATCTATCATAAATCTCAAATGCAACTTCACTTATCAAGCCTAATTAGCCCCTTTTAATTATTTTACACTATTCCAATTATAACACAATGAAAATAACAGAACAAGAGGAAATGACTTCTCATTGGCTCTATGCAATTACATCAGGCATAACAGCCATCTGTTGTCAAACCTCTTTGGGGACTATTCTCCCTTTATGAGTAGAAACACCACCATTCTTATTACATCATTACCACAAGATATTTTTGGCTTTATATAGTGATTAATTACTTTACAACAATTTTGATTAATAAACAAACACTACTGCTATATATAATAAGCCTCCAAATTATGTGATTGTTTTATGTATTTGGTATAGAAATTAGGAAAAAAAAAAAAAAAAACATGGTTGCTATTTTATATTTCAAAGGAACTAATGTTTTTATATATATATATATATATATATATATATATATATATATGTGTGTGTGTTTCATTAAAAATGACAGACAAGGTACTATGTTTAAGCTTTTTATTTAATTTTTCTTGTGTTCTGACAAGAGCTTTCTTTTCTGGACAAAGAGTGTGTAAGAACTGTCCGAATCCCTACCACATACTGACACATACACAGAACGCACACACTTAATTAAGCTGAATATCGAATCATCCTTGATAATGGCTAAAGGTATAGCCGAAAGTGCACGGAAATATAAAACATTTGGACAGTTCTTACACACCCCTTTGTCCAGAAAAGAAAGCTCTTGTCAGAACACAAGAAAAATTAAATAAAAAGCTTAAAGGAAATGAAGGCAAAAATGTTTATATGTAGCATCAGAAAGAGACAATTGAAATTTCCATATAACGTGGAAAGAATGCTTGGAAAATTTGAAACTCACAGGACATATTGAAGGCAAGAGGAACAGAAAAGCTGTGTGTAACCTACCTAACAAGCTTGTGTAAATGGTTTGTAGAACAGGGTGTAAGTGATATAGCAAAAAACAAACTTTAAGGTTTGCAAAAAATAGGAAGTTGTGGAGAGCCATGACCGCCAACGTCATGAAGGGACATGACAGATTTCATCTGTAAACCATAAAACTCGTACAACACAACTAAGAGTTGGTATAGTTAACCTTAAGACTGTTGCTGAGAGCTTTATATTTTATCTGAACTGTTTACTGTTAGCTACAGACTCATGGTTTTAGTTGCAGTGAAAAAAAAATAGTTGAAATTAATAATGGTTGACAATGTTTCATCTAATAACAAAGTTCACTATTACTATTTATACTAGTTTTTTGATACAAACTTAAAACAGATACTAATCAGTCATTAAACGAGTGGAAATTTTGTAATAAAAGCAACAAAGATATTGTTCTAATTTCATTTGATTGATTTGTTTTTTACAACTTTGAAGGATATTTAAAGCCGAAAAATATTTTTAGATTATAAGAATTAATTTTATTTTTTAATTTTCTTTAGATAATGATTTAGTGATACAAGTCTTACTAATTAACCCATACCAGGGGTGGATTTGTACTTTTTTTTTTTTTTTTTTCAAGGGTTTTGTGCATAAGTGAATATAATGAACCCAATGGGAATTGGAACTCTGCTCTTTGATTAATAATTCTGATCCATTACTCATTACACCACCTGCACATCCAAGCTTATAACACTTGGTATTCCTCAGTGGTCACCCATCTAGGTGATGACCAGGCTTGATATTGCTTAATTTTGGTGATTGTATAAAAACCAATGTTTCAACATGATGTAGTTGTAAGCCATATTGTTCTGATGCAGTGTATCTCCTTGTTATATTTCTGTCTTCAATGACTGGTTCTCTGTTTATCTGCATCAGAAATAATTCATTTTTACTGACACCATTTTCTTCTGTGCTTTCATATAATGCATCTGAACACTGCTTTTTGCAGATTAAAAGAAAAAAGATATTGAGTAATCTTGTATATTGAGAAGATTTCTATACTGTGGCAGTTAAGTGTTGTTTTTGCTTGTACCCCCAGGAAATGTCTTGGATATCATTATAGATAATGATCTTTTCCTCCTTGAAAAGAGCCAAATATTGGATTACAGATTGCAGGAAATCTTGATTATTAAATGAAAAGCAGGTACCAGGGTGCTTACTCTGCCAAAGACCTTTTTGGTTAAAACGTGATAGTCACTGAGAAGAGGGAACGTACAGGAATCTTCTTGAAGTTTTTTCTTCTTCCTTTCCTTTTTTTTTTTTTTCCCTCTTTCCTTTCTTTTTAATGGCTGGATAACCTTTCTAGTTGGTTGCCTTCAGCTGATTTCGATGAAAAAGGACAGGTTTGAAAATATCACATGCCTCTTACCCTTGCT